TAGGGGAGGTGGTGAGGTGGTGAGGGTAGGGGAGGTGGAAGGTGGTAGGGGAGGTGGGGAAGGGTAGGGGAGGTAGGGGAGGTGGAGGGGTAGGGTGGAAGGGTAGGGGAGGTGGAGAGGGGTAGGGGAGGTGGAGAGGGGTAGGGGAGGGTGGTGAAGGGTAGGGGAGGTGGTGAAGGGTAGGGGAGGTGGTGAAGGGTAGGGGAGGTGGTGAAGGGTAGGGGAGGTGGTGAAGGGTAGGGGAGGTGGTGAAGGGTAGGGGAGGTGGTGAAGGGTAGGGAGGTGGTGAAGGGTAGGGGAGGTGGTGAGGGGTAGGGGAGGTGAAGGGTAGGGGAGGTGGTGAAGGTGGTGAAGGGTAGGGGAGGTGGTGAAGGGTAGGGTAGGGGAGGTGGTGAAGGGTAGGGGAGGTGGTGAAGGGTAGGGGGGGAGGTGGTGAAGGGTAGGGGAGGTGGTGAAGGGTAGGGGAGGTGGTGGGGTAGGGGAGGTGGTAGAGGTGGTGAGGGTAGGGGAGGTGGTGAAGGGTAGGGGAGGTGGTGAAGGGTAGGGGAGGTGGTGAAGGGTAGGGGAGGTGGTGAAGGGTGGGGGGAGGTGGTGAAGGGTAGGGGAGGTGGTGAAGGGTAGGGGAAGGTGGTGAAGGGTAGGGGAGGTGGTGAAGGGTAGGGGAGGTGGTGGTGAAGGGTAGGGGAGGTGGTGAAGGGTAGGGGAGGTGGTGAAGGGTAGGGGAGGTGGTGAGGGTAGGGGAGGTGGTGAAGGGTAGGGGAGGTGGTGGGGTGGGTAGGGGAGGGGGTGGAGAGGGGTAGGTGAAGGGTAGGGGAGGTGGTGAAGGGTAGGGGAGGTGGTGAAGGGTAGGGGAGGGTGGTGGGTAGGGGAGGTGGTGAAGGGTAGGGGAGGTGGTGAAGGGGTAGGGGTAGGGGAGGTGGTGAAGGGTAGGGGAGGTGGTGAAGGGTAGGGGAGGTGGTGAAGGGTAGGGGAGGTGGTGAAGGGTAGGGGAGGTGGTGAAGGGTAGGGGAGGTGGTGAAGGGTAGGGAGAGGTGGTAAGGGAGGGGAGGTGAAGGGTAGGGGAGGTGGTGAAGGGTAGGGGAGGTGGTGAAGGGTAGGGGAGGTGGTGAAGGGTAGGGGAGGTGGTAGGGGGGAGGTGGTGAAGGGTAGGGGAGGTGGTGAAGGGTAGGGGAGGTGGTGAAGGGTAGGGGAGGTGGTGAAGGGTAGGGGAGGTGGTGAGGGGTAGGGGAGGTGGTGAAGGGTAGGGTAGGGGAGGTGGTGAAGGGTAGGGTAGGGGAGGTGGTGAAGGGTAGGGGAGGTGGTGAAGGGTAGGGGAGGTGGTGAAGGGTAGGGGAGGTGGTGAAGGGTAGGGGAGGTGGTGAAGGGTAGGGGAGGTGGTGAAGGGTAGGGGAGGTGGTGAAGGGTAGGGGAGGTGGTGAAGGGGGAGGTGGTGAAGGGTAAGGGTAGGGGAGGTGGTGAAGGGTAGGGGAGGTGGTGAAGGGTAGGGGAGGTGGTGAAGGGTAGGGGAGGTGGTGAAGGGTAGGGGAGGTAGGGGAGGTGGTGAAGGGTAGGGGAGGTGGGGGGTAGGGTAGGGAGGTAGGGTAGGGGAGGTGGTGAGGGTAGGGTAGGGGAGGTGGTGAAGGGTAGGGGAGGTGGTGAGGGTGGGGAAAGGGTGAAGGGTGAGGGTAGGGGAGGTGGTGAAGGGTAGGGGAGGGGAGGTGGTGAAGGGTAGGGGAGGTGGTGAAGGGTAGGGGAGGTGGTGAAGGGTAGGGGAGGTGGTGAAGGGTAGGGGAGGTGGTGAAGGGTAGGGGAGGTGGTGAAGGGTAGGGGAGGTGGTGAAGGGTAGGGGAGGTGGTGAAGGGTAGGGGAGGGTGAAGGGTAGGGGAGGTAGTGAAGGGTAGGGGAGGTGGTGAAGGGTAGGGGAGGGGAGGTGGTGAAGGGTAGGTTAGGGGAGGTGGTGAAGGGTAGGGGAGGTGGTGAAGGGTAGGGGAGTTGGAGCAATAGACAGGAGTAAAAGAGAAGGTGCTCCAGAGGATAAGGGAGTACTTAAGAAACAGGAAACAGCGAGTAACTGTAAGGGGGATGACATCAGAGTGGCGAGATGTCACTAGCGGAGTCCCACAGGGCTCAGTGCTTGGACCCATCCTGTTTCTAATACAGTGGTACCTCGGTTTAAGAGTTTAATCCGTTCCTGGAGACAGCTTGTATTAGGAAAACTCGTAATCCGAAGCTAATTTCCCCATAAGAAATAATGGGAAATGAATTAATCCGTTCCTGACTACCCCAAAACCTCACTTCAAACTAAATTTTATACCTAATTCATCTAAATAAACCTACAAAACTATGTTCAAGTTATTACTTACTCTTGTTGATGACTCCTGTTAGTGTATGGAAGATGGTGAGGAGGAGGGAGGAAGAGAGGTGTTATTGTTTGGATGGGGAGACCCCTTCCATTATAACATCAGGCAGTGAGGACTTCACTGGTGTACACACACTGGCACGTTTTGCCTGCATACCACTAGGACTTACCTGTCTTACTAAGAATGTCTAATGACACTTGTTCTTCCCTACATTTTAACACTTGTCTGTAGTAAGACATCACATTGTCATTTAAAAGGTCAATGCAACGGCCTGCTACAGCTTTATCTGGGTGAGTTTTTTCAACAAAACTTTGCAGTTCTTCCCATACTTCACACATTTTCTTAATCAAGAAGGGACATCCTCTACTGCCTCTACTCATAGCTATTTTCTTAGGTTGAACCTTACCAATGACTTTCTTGAGACCCATGGCTAGATATACAGTATAATAACTTTTATGCTCAAATGGCCAAAAAATGTCAAAAAACTGTAAATACTTGAAGAATTGAGGCGGGATAGTCACTGGGCGCGATTGCCGTGCCACCACGCACTAGTCGGCCTGTACGTGTATCAACAAACTCGTGTTCCGAGGCAACCCTCGCCTTCCGAGGCAAATTTTCCGAGCAAATCCTGCTCGTATTCCGAAAAACTCGTATACAGGGACACTCGTATTCCGAGGTACCACTGTATGTACCACTTATATGTAAACGATCTTCTGGAGGATATAGACTCATTCCTCTCAATGTTTGCTGATGAGGCAAAAATTATGAGAAGAATCAAGACAGATGAAAATAGACAGTGACTACAGAATGACCTGGACCAACTGGAGGAATGGTCTAGAAAATCGCTTCTAAAGTTTAACTCAGGAAAGTGTAAAGTAATGAAATTAAGCGAAGGGAGCAGGAGGCTGAACACAAGGTACCATCTGAGAGGTGAAATCCTGCAAGAGTCAAATAGAGAGAAAGATCTGGGGGTTGATATCACACCGAACCTGTCCCCAGAGGCCCACATCAAAAGCATATCATCAGCGGTATATGCTAGGTTGGCCAACATAAGAACTGCCTTTAGAAACTTGTGTAAGGAATCGTTCAGGACCCTGTATACCACTTATGTCAGACCAATCCTGGAATATGCAGGAGTCCACACCTAGTTAAACACAAGACAAATTTAGAGAAGATTCAGCGGTATGCCACCAGGCTCGTCCTGGAACTGAGAGGGATGAGCTACGAGGAAAGGCTAAAGGAGCTGAACCTCACGTCCCTGGAATACAGAAGAGCAAGGGGAGACATGATAAATACCTACAAAATTCTCGGGGGAATTGACAGGGTGGACAAAGAAACTCTTCAGCACGGGTGGTACACGAACAAGGGGACACAGGTGGAAACTTAGTACCCCAGATGAACCACAGGGACATTAGAAAGATTTTTTTTGTGTCAGTAGTTAATAAATGGAATGCACTAGGAAGTGATGTGGTGGAGGCTGACTCCATACACAGTTTCAAATATAGATATGATAGAGCCCAGTAGGCTCAGGAATCTGCACATCATCATGTAATCATGAGAGAGATTATGATAAGAGCTGACAAAGATAAATCCCGATTGTTGGTTCTGGGGAGGACTTCAACTTTAAGGTAATAGACTGGGAGGCCTAAGAGGCAAGAACAGAGGACATATGGACAGGCAGATTTGTAAACCTCATCTTGGAGACATTCATGTATCAACATATCAAGTAGGCCACAAGAATGAGGGAAGGGGATGTTCCGTTAGAACTGGATCTAGTATTCACCAGGAAAGAAGAAGAGGTATTTGACATCCAGTACCTTCCTCCCTTGGGAAAGTGATCACGTCTTCTTGGACATTAAATACGCTATGCGATATAATTTAGCAGAGAATGGGGACAGTGAAACTGTTGTTAAACTATTTCAAGAGAGGACGCTATGGGGAACTTAGAAATTTTTTTCATGGGTATAATTGGACAGACTTGTTGCTAGGCAAGTAAGTAAATGAGATGTATGCCAAATTTTGCAAAATATAAACATTCATACCCAAACAGACATGCAGACCTAGGAAACAGGGTTGGTTCGACAAAAATTGCGAGAGGGCCAGAGATCAAAAGACACAAGCATGGAATCATTATAGAAAGAGACCAAACCCCCAAACATACCAACGATACAAAGATTCAAGAAACAACTACACTTCAATAGGCAGAGAGGCAGAGAGGAACTTTGAGAAGAGTATAGCAGACAAATGTAAATCAGATCCAGGCCTCTTCTATAAATTCATTAATAAGCAAGCTGCAGGTAAAGGATAATATTCAGAGGTTGAAAACGGGGAACAGATACACGGAAAATGAAAAGGAAATGTGTGAAACATTAAACGAAAAGTTCCAACGTGTGTTTGTACAAAATGAGATCTTCAGAGAACCAGACAAAATAAGAATTCCAGAGAACAGCATAGAGCACAAAAAGGTGTCTAGAGACGAAGTGAAACAAATGCTCTTGGAGCTAAGTATGAACAAAGCAGTTGGCCCAGATGGAGTTTCACTATGAGTTCTGAGAGAACGTGCACCCTAAGCTCAGCATTCCACTTCAGCTGATTTTTCAGACATCCCTGTATACAGGAGTTGTAGCAGATATGTGGAAAAAAGGCTAACATAGTTCCAATCTACAAAAGTGGCGGCAGAGAAGACCCCTCAATTATAGACCTGTATCATTGACAAGTGTAATAGTCAAAATATTGGAAAAAGTAATAATAACTAAATGGGTAGAACACATGGAGAGAAATGATATAATATCAGACAGACAGTATGGTTTTCGATCTGGAAGATCCCGTGTATCGAATTTACTGAGTTTCTATCATCGAGCCACAGAGATTTTACAGGAAAGAGATGGTTGGGTTGACTGCATCTATCTGGACCTAAAAAAGGCTTTCGACAGAGTTCCACATAAGTTTGTTCTGGAAACTGGAAAATATTGGAGGGGTGACAGGTAAACTTCTAACATGGATAAAATAATTCTGACTCGGTCTCTGTGACCGCTTGGACGAATAATCCTCACTTAATCGCACATTTGTTCCAATGAACATTTAGAATTGAATGCAATTCGTTCGGACCATCCGGGAACTCGTTAGAGTGAGGATGCACTGTACAGAAGGTTTTGTCAATGTTAAGGGTGAGTTTGAGAGTTTGTTAGCAGTTAGCCAAAGATGTACTTTATTTAGATCAGTATTTTCTCGGGCATTCAGAATAAGAGGGTTAGAACTTTTGTTTAGATTTACCTTGTTGTTGTCTGCTTTGTTTCACTCTAGCTAGCAAAATTTGCTGGAAACAAACGCAGACATCTTCAAGAGAAAACTGTATAGTTTTCTTCAGGAAGTGCCGGACCAACCAGGCTGTGTTGGATATGTGGGCCTGTAGGCTGCTCCTAACAACAATCTTTTGGACCAAGCTCTAAAGTCAAACCTTGCCCTGGACCAGGCTTGGGGAGTAGACAACATCCCAGAACCCCATCCAGGTACAAAATAAAGGCAGCCTTTTCCTGACCATCTATTTCATGTAACAAAACACAGTCCCTTCCACTGGGAAAGCATCTACTCCTAGTTTTAAAGGGCATTTGCCCATAAAATTAGTGAGCACAGGAGAATTTACCAATTCCTGCTTAATTAACCACTGCACTGCACAAAGCGCCTTGAGGCACCCAATTGGGGGTGCGCAGTGCCATATGGCATTTTTATGTATAGAGAGCCATTCAAAACTCCTGCAGGTATACAGGGTTCACACCCTATTCCTCAGGACTCCTGTAAACAGACGCACTTTTGAAAAAAAAATCAGCATCCATGCCGACTGTGAGAGCCTGCATGCCCTTAGAGAGCGAGCAATGGCATGCAGGAGCAGCACACAGCACTGCTGTGCGCTGCTGCTCCCACCGACCACCTCCCGGGTTAGTTCCTCTGTTTTCGTCTTTAGTGAAGGGGGCTTACCCCAGAAAACCAGCATTGAATGTAATGAAACGCCATTTTCTGGGCGAGTCCTGAAGACTTCCTGGCAACCCTTCCTCCCTTCGGTCAGCGTTTTTTCGCATGTTTTTGACATCCAGCCTCAGTACTGGTGGGCAGATCGCCGATGTAGGGTCTGGGGCTTCCACTTCCTCCTCCCGGGAAGGGGGGGAGCTGCGCAGGCATGGGACGCGGCTCGTATGATGTCGTGCTTGTTTGCTCATTTTCATTTGGGGAGTTCTGTCCACTAGTCTATCTTCGTCGTTTTAACCAGAATGGGGATTTGTTTTGAGGCGCTTACCTTTCTGGGTGGCTGTCCCGGTCGATGGCAGATATAGAATGCTCCAAATCCCATGTGTATCTCTATAGGACATTGCTCCTCGTGCTTCTCTGAGGGGGCCAGGTTCTGGCCATGGTCCCCGGTAGGCCTAGAACTCCATTCACCCTGATGCCAAAGTTTAGGGATAAACATATCAGCCTGGATAGCTCCAGGGAGCCTCTGGGACTCACCCAGAAAATGGCGTTTCATTACATTCAACGCTAGATTTTTTAAACAATTCATACAAGGGAGCTAATTTTGTTCAAAAATTCTTAAAATTGTATAAATAAGTTACCATCCCCAAGAAAGACTATACTTCCCCACTGATGTAGGGGCTGGGATGTCCATTATAGTAGCCACATTTTTGTGAGAAGGGGTAAAATCTTTACCTGAAATATGGTACCCCCATGTAATCCATGAATTGGGTCTTCAACAGTGGCAAACAGGATAATGATAATGTATGTAATATGAGCATAATGACATATAAAAAAAAAACAATGACTATCAAATTGAAGCCATATGACCTTACCTTGACTTGGAATGCAAGGAAACATCTGCTACATCTTCACACAGGCTGCTTAGTGATGAACCACACTGTAGTTCTAAGGGAAGGTGGCTACCTGTAAATACATATATTAAAAAGTTGTGGAAAAACTGTCAACCTGTTCCTAATAAAAATATGAACAAATATAAAATAGTCATTAACAGAACGGATAATACTCTTCCCCGAATATTTGTTACAAATACATTATTCCCTAACTCTATACCTAAAATTATGTCGATATTCTGAAATGCATAATATAAAGGAATAATTTGTTCTTTCTATATTAAAAAATACAAAAAATTCTACTTATTATAAACTGGTCCTAGTGAGGTGAAGAAATGTTATTGAAGTAAAATTCTGAGGGATAATTCCTAATTTAACTAATTGTAACATATGTCCATTCACTAAGATCTTCCAGGTCCATTAAAGTCCTCAAAAACCCAGAGGCTCCCCGGAGCTATCCGGGCTGATATGTATATCATTAGACTTTGGCATCAGTCAGTGAGAATGGAGTTCTAGGCCTACCGGGGACCATGAGCCAGAACCTGCCCCCCCCCCAGAGAGGCATGACAAGCAATGGCCTATAGGAATGCACATGGGATCTGGAGCATTCTTTATCTGCCACTGACCGGGACAGGCACCCAGAGAGGTAAGCACCTCAAAACAAACCCCTATTCTAGTTAAAATGACTAAAATAGACCAACGAGTGGACAGAACTCCCCAAATGAAAACGAGAAAATGAGCATGATGTCACACGAGCCGCGCCACATGTCTGTGCAGCTCCCCCCTCCCCGGGAGGGGAAGCCCCAGACCCCCACGCCAGTGATCCACCTTGCACTTCTGAGGCTGGATGTCAAAAACACGTGGAAAAAACACAGACCGCAGGAAGGGAGGGAGGGGGGGAGGGTTGCCGGGGAGCCCCCGGGTCTCGCCCAGAAAATGGGGTTCCATTACATTCAACGCTGGTTTTCTGGGAAGAGCCCCTTCGGCTCTCTGGAGCTACTTCACCAAAGACGAAAACTATAGGGACTTACCCGGGAGGCGGTCACCATGATAAAAAGAGCAGAAACCCCTATGCCGGAGGAGAGCATGAAGCTCCCCAACCTGACCCCCAGAGGCCTATGGGAAAAAAAAAATTGGAAAAACAATCCTGAACCAAAGGGGCCACAACAAACTGAGGCGAAGACAGATACGAAAGCACTCTGTCCAAAGACCAGGACTGCTCAGGTGGTACATGAGCAGGCCACAGGTGAAACAACTCATGAGACACCTTGCAAAATGGTGAAGAAGTAACATAATACTGAAAGCAAGCTGCAGTGGCTCGGCCAGCGCCGCACTATACAAGGCCACAGTATTCAGCATAAGATGACCTGAAACAGCCACAGGAGAATGGATAAAACAACCTTAACAGAAAGTGACGTACAGTGACGAAGAGAGAAAAAGAAACAGAAGAACCGCCAAGAAACTTCATACTGCTGCCGAGACGAAGCCCGCAGGTGGGACACCACCAAAGAAGTAACCCTATCACCATACAGATGTGATAGACTCGAGTCAAAAAGACCAAACGTGAAGACTTGGGGAGAAGAGCGAACCAGTCTTGTAACGGACCAGACCGATTTATTGAAAGAGGCGGAGCCACCGGAAAACCTCCGGGTTCGGACACCAAGCAAGCAGTGCCCGAAACCAAGGCTGGACCGGCCACCATGGGGCCAAGAAAACTACTCACCCATGGGAAGTCTCCAAGTGAGTTAGGACCTGGAGCAACAGATGAACCGGGGAAGGAAGAGGTACAGGAACCCCTACCTCGACCTGTTCTGCTGGAAGGCATCGATCCCGATGACCTCGCTTTCCGGGACGGGCGCCGCATATACCGGAAGACACCTCGACCATACCGACGCGAAGAGGTCCACCTCCGTGCGCCCGAACGACTGGCAGAGCCAACTGAATGAATCGGCATCGACTGTTCACTCCGTGGACAGGGGAATGAACCGGGACAGGCCGTCCGCCAGGACGTTGGACACCCCCAGACGTGAACAGCCAGGAAAGCCAAAACCCCGAGAACTCAGAAGACGAGTCATCCGAAGCGACCAGCCCCAAAGAGCCAAGGACTGCATTGAAAGCCCCCTCCCCCCCTTCCCTTCGCTTCAGGCAATGAACCACCAGGGAGCAGTCCTAATGGAGCCGGATCATCAATCCGCGGGTGACCCGAACCCTCCTAAGCAAAAACCACACCGCTGCGAACTCCCGAAATGTGCTGTGGGCCCAACGGAAGGACGGACCCCGCCACCCCTGGCTGGCCTGGTGAGCACTGGTCACAAAGCCCCCAGCCGAGAGACGACGCGTCTGTGAACACATCGAGCGAGGGCTCGGGTAGGCGCCAAGACATTGAACCCCGAAAAATCCGAAGAGGAAGCTGGCGACACAGCTGGTGATTGCGAGAGAGGCGGAAGGGATTTCCCAAAGGAACGAGAACAGCCGACGAAGCCAAATCTGACCCAATGGGTGGACCATCATAAAGTTCAGGCTCCCACACAGACCCTCGAGCAACTGCCAGGTGACTCGGGAGCCCCCCACAAACAAGGACATGTGGGGACCGGAGCCAAAGGAGGGACTCTGGAGGGAGAGAGAAGGAAACAGTCCGAGAGTCCCACACAAGACCCAGCCAGTTCCGAACCTGGGAGGGGACCAGATGGGACTTTCGACAGTTCATCAGAGAACCCGAACCCGGCTAGCTGAAAAAGCACCAAACCCCTGGTGGGCAGACACAAGGACCGACTGGGAGCACAGACCAGTGAGTCGTCGAGGTAACCTAGCACCTGAACACCTAAACGACGCAGACGGGCCACCAAAACCCTGGTAAGGCGTTTGAACACGTGAGGTGCCAGGTTCAACTTGAACGGGAGACAACGAAAGTGGTAGCTCTGACGCCCCAGAACAAAACCGAGCCAGGTCCTGAACCCAGGATGAATCAGGATGTGCCAATACGTGTCGTTGAAGTCCAGGGACACTATCCAAGCTCCCGGCTCCAACAGAAGCCAGACCTGGGACAGTAGTCGCCCAAAAGGTGGGGCAAGAAACCCAGGGGATCAGAAGGGACAAGTCCAGAATGAACTAGAGGTTCGCACAGTCCCGTTTTAGAACTGGAAGCAGGCAGGAAACCCACCTAAGAGATGTCATTGTTTCGACCACGCCCAAGAGCACCCACTCTGAGACGACTCGACAGAGCACAGGAGAAGAGGCCTACCACGCCAGCCCCAAACCCCCCTAAAGGAGGAGGAGCCACCCAAAGCCACCACAGGCCGTGAGAAATGACCTGAAAAGCCCACAAATCGTGACACCAGGCGTAAGCAATCAGAGCAAGCCTCCTCCCCATCGCCCAGTCAATGGGGCGAACTGCAAAAGGGCCAATGCCCCTTACGAGAACCCGACCTGTGCACAAAGCTGAAGGTGGTGCCAGCTCCGAAACTGGTACCTGTTGCCTACCCCGACGAACTGAACCCTGACCCTGGCACAACCCTTCTGGGAGGAACTCATCTGGGACCCCCGGAGAACCAACAAGTCTGACATTGGACGACAGCTAGAAGAAGCCACCTGCATATACTGCTCGACCTCAGAGTCCGCAAACAGCAAGGGCAAAAAACCAGCGTTGAATGTAATGAAACACCATTTTCTGGGCGAGACCCAGAGGCTCCCCGGAGCTTATCCAGGCTGATATGCTAATGTCAGACTTTGGCATCAGTCATGTGTATGGAGTTCTATGGGCCTACTGAGGACCACGAGCCAGAACCTGGCCTCCACAGAGAGGCAAGAGGAGCAATGGCCTATAGAAACCCTCGTGTGGCATTCTATCTCTGCCATTGACCGGGTCAGGCACCCAGAAAGGTAAGCATACCAAAACAAACCCCTATTCTGGTGAAAATTGCTACCACAGGCCGAACAAGTGGATAGAACTCCCCTTAAAGAAACGAGCAAACGATCATGACGTCACACGATGCCGCGCCGCTGTCCACGCAGTTCCCCCCTCCCCAGGAGGGGGAAGGGGCAGCCCCAGACCTACCATGCCGGCTATCCATCATCAGTTCTGAGGCTGGATGTCAAAAAACACAAAAAAAATACGCCAACCGGGAGGAGGGAGGGAGAGATGCTGGAGAGCCTCCAGGTCCGACACAGATATGGTGTTTCATTACATTCAACACTGGTTTCCCAGGGGGAGCCCCTTCGGCTCCCCGGAGCTAACTACCCACAGAGGAAATAGGAGGGACGTACCCGGGTGGCGGTCGCCGCACACTCCCCAACTCAAAGTCGAAACAACTGGCTGCAACCGCCAACCCAAGGCGACACGGGCCCGAATTGGAGCGGGAACGACCATGAGATATGAAGCAGCCAGGGCCCTGTACAGCCCCCAAAAGCCCTGTGTCCAAATGTCAGCCAGGACATGCTGCCAAGATGACAGCAAGAGCAGCGAATCTACAAACGTCATGGGCACGGGGATAGAACGCAGGCTGGCTAGCCTCAATAACACGGCAGACGACCTGGGAGACCCTCACCCGCAAACAGGGAAGAAGGAAACAGGATCAACCCAAAGCGCGTCCCAGACACAGAAGCCGTGGCGTACAAATAACAGCGGAGGGCTGCAACCGGACACAAAACAAGATGCACCCCTGGCCCAACCAACCAAGCACCAACAACCAAGGACCCCTCCGGAAAGCAGCAGTCTCATTCTGTGCCAGAAAAGAGGGAGACGGCTGCAACCGAACAAACCTATCGCCACGACCGAAGGAGCAGAAACCCATGCACAGAAGGAGAGCAAGAAGCTCACCGACCCAACCCCTAGAGGCAAATGCCAACAGGAGAAAGAGCCTTCGAGAAACAAACCCGAACCGAAAGGGCCACAACAAACCGAGGAGAAGAAGAAAGAGCACACTGTCCAAAGACCAGGACGGCTCAGGCAGCGCAAGAGCAGGCCGGAGGTGAAACAACGCACGAGACAGCTTACGTAACAGCGCATATGTAACACCAAGACTGAAAGCAAGCTGAAGCGGCTCCACCAGCACCACACGAAACGAGGCGACAGTA